AATGGATGTTGAGTATCTTGCGTAGACAGCTATTTATAGATACTTGTACCTTCTTGATTGGTGGTTGTTGTAGTTCTCCAAGTTCCAGCTCCGTACACTAGAACAGTCTCGACGTTCGTGTTGAAAATTCTCACTTTGATATTGGTTGAAAGTTGTTTTGAGTCCCATATGTTCTTCAAATGGAGGAATACGGCCCTTGCTTTGCCAATCCTCGCCTTTACGTCTGCATCCGATTATCATTATTTATGATGCTTCCCAGGTACGTGAAAGATTCCACATCTTCCAGAGTTTCGCCATCAAGAGTGATTGGATTGTTGTTCTCCGTGTTGTATTTGAGGACCTTGGTTTTCCCTTTGTGTATTTTGAGGCCTACTGATGCAGAAACTGCTGCGATAGGAGGGCTAGGTCATGTGCGAAGTCCAAATCGTCTAATTGATTCTGAGCTGTCCATTGTATTCCGCGTTTTCCCTCAGATGTCGAGGTCTTCATAATCCAGTCGACCACCAGAAGAAAGAGGAAGGAGGAGAGTAGACAGCCTTGTCTGACTCTAGTCCTTACTTGGAATATGTCTGTCAGATGTCCTCCATGCCCAACCTTGCACTGTAGTCCGTCGTATGAGTTCCGGATAATGTTGACAATGTCAGGAACTCCATAGTGTCGAAAAAGTTTCTATGAAGTCCTCCTATCTACACTGTCAAATGCTTTTTCATAATCAATGAAGTTGATGTACAGTGATGAGTTCCACTCAACTGATTGTTCGACGATGATCCGTAGTGTCGCAATTTGGTCTGTGCACGACTGATCCTTACAGAATCCAGCTTGTTGATCTCGAAGTTGGGCGTCTACTGCGTCTTTCATCCGGTTCAGCAACACTCTGTTGAAGACTTTCCCTGGTATTGACAGTAGTGTAATGCCTCTGTAGTTTTCACATTTGCTCAGATGTCGTTTCTTTGGAATCTTGATGAGGTGTCCTTCTTTCCAGTCCATCGGCACTCGTTCTTCCTCACAAATCTTCTTGAATAGAAGATGAAGAATGTTTGTAGTTACTTCGATGTCTGACTTCAGTGCTTCAGGTGGTATGTTGTCGTGTCCTGATGCTTTCCCGCTCTTGATTTGTCTGATGGGCATCCTGATTTCTTCCGTCGTTTGGTGGATTGACATGGGTTTCGCTGATTCCCAGTACTGCCAAGTTGTATATCCTCATTTCCGTTGCTATTTGACTAGTCTTCCCGGTCTCTTACATTGTCCGTACGTTCCATGTACCTATTAAAATTGTTGCTCTGGTTGTTAGAAGGGGCATCGGCCTCGTGGCTTCCGAAGGAACTCGGCTTCCATCATGAGGCGTCATAGTTCTTGTAAATGAAGGGCAGAGTTTAAATGGTTTGAATTATTTTTCCTGGTTAGCGTTTTTTAGCGAGTTAGTTTTCTACGGGGTGGGGTCGCTAACCCCATGCCCAACCCTCCTCCTTTACCCGGGCTTGGGACAGCCAGTAACTCCAGAAGAGCTACAGGCGGAGTATTTTTTGTATCTGTTACTGCAACATGTATCACCAAAGGTGGTTGCCACTTCTTAAAACAAAGAACGTGAAAAAAAGAAGCCCAGTACACATGGATTATGAATGTTGGTTTTTATGGCTTTTGAAGATGACAGCAAATCATCCTAATGTGTGCAAGCTTTAATCAGAATTCAAAGTACTGTCTATAATCATTTTTGAGATATCTAAGATTTTGCTTCGAAATTATTTCATTTTCATGTGTAATCTGCCCTTTCCTATACAGCCAATAGATTGGAATTATTGGACATCAAAATTTTCGGTCGATTCATCAGTTAAACCAATTGATTGGGCAATCCCAGGAACTAGTGGAGGTCTTACAACGTTACACACATTTATCTATGAAAAACTGTCTAAATACGCTGATTGTCGTAACGACCCCACGAAAAATTGTTTGAGCGACTTGTCACCATGGTTTCATTATGGTAATTGTTATTTGATTTGTCACAATTCCTATTATGATGAATATGCGCCATTGTATTTCAGTGTAATTTTGACTCACCAAGATGATGTTCGTCGAAGACACACACTTAGCATACCTCACCACCACAGAAGCTACGTACTGTTGGAAGTACACACTTTAGATGGTTACGCGGACTCTTCTACCAATGATTTCAGTTTTATCGATATGTTTAGGCTTTCAGATTAAATGGATGTGTGTTTTGTTTTCACTTAGGCTGGGCTACGTTTCGTGAAGCAGTTTCTCAGAAGTGGGTAAACTATTTTAGTTAGTGTCGAATAACTTGATGATAGACATCACTAACTTCCTAGATGGTACAATGACTCAATTATTCAGAAATATTTATGGAAATGAATTTTCAAAATCAGGCCTTTGGCTCTGCTATTCAGAATACTGTAACCATTTGGAGACTTCGTGTTTTCATACTCAACTAATTTTATTAACCTTCACATTTTAGGACTAGTATATAAGGTGAATTAAAATTTTCTGTTAAAAACTTGACAGTAAATCGCATCTCAATGGACGGATTGTCCTTACGAGCATCCGCTGCACCTTTGACGTAAACCATACAAGTAGGCAACTGGTGAGACTATAATTTATGGACAACCTTTGAGCAACGCTAAAATTATGATTTACAGTTCATGGTTTGGGTTAGGAATTAGGCTTAGGATTTTCACCACAAATTTGCATCAACTATAATACCGAAATAGTATTTAGCCCAATGAGTGAATGAATTGCGCTCTAACATCCAAGATCTGTTATTGTAAATCTGATTGGTTCGTTCATGAGTCTCGCCAAGCTACCTTTTTTCTTAAAACCGCATCCCGTTTGTATATGATGTGAAATTATGGCACTTGAATCTTCGTGATTGAAGCTCAGTATTTCTTTAACTGCTCTTTACTTTAGGGAAGGGCATCACTCTGTTTGCTTGTAATACAGGTTTGCAGAAGCCGTAGATTCCCTGACCACATTTTTTCAGCTGATTGCAAGCGTATTTGAAAAGTCTGTTGCTAACTATATTTCTATACTTTGTTAAATCAGGTCAAATTGCACCACAACGAGCGATCATGGAGGTAAAACTTTGGCGCCATAAGTACAAGGATTCCGTAGATGCCTTCGTGGAGGAAGCCTTTATTCGAAGGGAACTCTCGGATAATTTCTGTTATTACAACCCGAAATATGACTCAATTGAAGGTGAGTGTAATCAGTACGGCTGTCAAAATAAATATTATTTCCAGCCATGCTGACAATCAAAAACCCTTAACCACGTGCCTGCTTGCACAGTAAAAGAAACGCTAGTGTATTCGTGCTAAAAAACCTAGTGTCTTGAAGTGTTGCTATAACTGAAAAATATTTGCTGTGGATTAAGGGTAGCGAATTATTGATCGGACCAAAGACGCACAAACACGTAGAACGACCTAGGGTTCTGATTGGTCTCGCTTCCCTGTCTAACCCAGCCAGTTGAGTCCAGAACGAAGTCACAGCCTCGGATATATCAATCATTATATTTCAAACATACTTTGTTTATATACCATTCAAGCAGTCCACAACGTACCATAAAACAGAAGATAACATTGTACAATAATGGCCAACAGGAAAATAACACGTCAAATAAATATTGACCAATAAGATGATACCATTTCATGTTCAAGGATAGCATTAGGCTTAACAGGATAATTTTTGGGATATTTCCCTGAATATCCCAACAAGTGTATACTTAATCTTTAGTTGATCTGAAAGAAACTGGGGAGCAATGCTCACAATCTGTTTGACTCTTGAGAAAAACTCAGGTAGACTACGTAGCTTTCTAGATGTAAATTTCATAACTATTACTGCTTACAGTCATTACATACACTAGCATATGATGCATCTGTTTCGTAAGCAAAATCAGTATATGGCACAGCAATTTTCCCCCATCGCTATATGATTGTTACACGTGACCAATGATAGTATAAGGTGGGTTGGGAGGATTCGTATTTTGACTAAGACTGTGTCAACAAGGACAAAGCAGATTTAACGCAAAAACACTTTTAATTTCTAAAGCAGACTAAATGCCCTATATCCAGTCAAGTATATGGTGCAACTGTATTTAACAAGCACTAAATGACCAAACGGCTTTTTTATTACTAGGAGCGTGGAAGTGGGCTCAAGACACTCTCGCGCAACATGCTCATGACAAGCGCAACCCTTCATATAGCGAAGAAATCATGATTGCAGCTGAAACTAAAGACGACCTATGGAATGCAGCACAGCGTCAGCTAGTACGGTCAGGCAAACTTCATGGGTTTCTACGTATGTACTGGGCTAAGAAAATATTGGAGTGGCATGGATCCGGTCCGTCGGCCGCTCTCAAGTTGGCACTTTATCTCAACGACCGTTATGCACTGGACGGTTCCGACCCGAATGGGTTTGTTGGTAAGACTTGAATAGTTTGTTGTTATATTCTGTGTTCCAGGTGTTATGTGGTCCATATGCGGTGTGCATGATCAAGGTTGGGCGGAAAGGCCTGTTTTTGGAAAAATCAGATGCATGACCTATAAAGGATGTTTAGGGAAGTTCTCAGTACCTACGTTTGTAGCGCGATACCCCAAGTAGTTATATACAAATAAAAATCCATATTTTTAAATCTAGTTTTTTATTCAATACAAGCTTTTTCCAAATACCAAAAAGCGGTCCAACTCATCTTAATTCACTGGGAAAATCACACCTTGGCAAAAATAAATGCAGGTTTTGGAAAGAACAGCGGCAATTCACAAATGATATCTATGGAGAATTACCGCTATTATGCCCACATGGATGCACATACTGAATTGGTAATCAAAACTAAATTTGGGAAGGGACAACAACTGCACCTATTTGGTGGCGTGAATTCCAAAGTAAATTATGAAAGCAAGTTTCCGCTGATGTAAAAATTGTCGAAAATGATTTAAATTATAAAAAACGACAGGATCAAAAAGTGTATTGTTCATGGTAGTTAATTATGACTGCTAATTGCCCCACCAGTCTGGAGAACTCTGTGACACCGAGCATGGTTGTGAATCGTAATAGCTACTGTCGCGAAGCAATCCATAGTCTCTAGACGTTGGGCCAGTAGGACGATTAGAATTATTAGCACCACGTGAGGGAGTTTGTCGATAATCACGAGCACCAAAACCGCCACTGAAATAAAAGTTTAATTATATTCAGCAATATAACAAAAGACCAAACAGTAATGACTTATGACAAAATGACCACTCCTAATTCAAAGGATGGAAAACGGATCAGTGTACATTCCAAAACTGCAAGTTAAATGGTTCAACATGAGTCAAATATATTTTATTTGGCACACCCACTCAAACAACTTGGTAGACAAACAAATTTTATTGTGATTAGATTAGCCTGTGTTGATCTTGAAGCTAGCAGCATCGTTGTGGAATAATGCGCAGATTACCAACTGGGTTAGTTACAATTCACTCATTATTGGACAGTCGGCTGAAAATCATATTTTAGTGATATCAAGATAGCTTATCTGTGGTTTGTCAGTTGATGCATTTACCGTCTGTCAGGTTTAACAAAGTCAATCAGATACTTTGCCACTTCCTATGGCGTTATCTTTTTTAACACTCAAAAGTATAATTGTAAAGCCAAGTCTGAAAGTAACTATTTTTATGGACTTACGAAACATAGTGTCCAAGCAACGTTTTTAAACCTTAAGATAAATGAAACTGAGTCGTCTCCATATTTTAAATCACTACGTAGTATTGTTACGGAACAGAACTTTCGGAATGCTTCACCCTAACTTCCTAATGAGATGATCTAGACGGCCCAGTAGTCATGACAACTTGTGCAATGTAAGAAATCAGAGATGGGTTGTAAAATTACCGACGATTGTTTCTTGGACGTTGGAAACTTGTAGGCCTTGCGTCTCCTGTAATTGCTTTCAACCAAGGCGGGATATCCTGATTAGCTTCTTCAAGCAACTCAACTAGACCACGGGCCAAGTTGCGGTTTTTGTCATTGAAAAAAGAAGTAGCCAGTCCAAGATTTCCAACACGGCCAGTTCGGCCGATGCGATGTACGTACTCTTCAATATCTGACGGAAGATCGTAATTGATAACGTGCTGTATTGTAAATGTAATAAACAATGAGGATTTAAATTTACATGCCAAAGAGACGTAGGATTTTACGCGTTATTTGTGAAACTCGGAAAGCCAAAAGGATGAAGTAATACACATAGACTGAGTCCATTCTTAGTGGGTAACAAGCCATACCTATTGAGAATGAAACTATTAGATGTTCTGAAGCACACACTAACATAACTTAGATGTGGTTGGACCGGTGGAATAACAATAGTTAAATAACGGCATACTCTCGAGTAACTGTTTTTCGTTCGAGTTGGTCTAGAGAAATGTGGACTTGGAAGCGGTGTAAATCAACAATTAGAGATTACAGATGATGGGATCAAAACCGACCACGGCGTAGTATACTGAAATAACTGATAGTTGGACAGGTGCGACAACTGCACTTTACACGCATGCAATTGTCAATTTGTACCTTCACTACAGTTTACCCTCAAACGAGATATTCATCATTTCAGTTGCGGATAAGCTAGTTCGACTAAGAGTAGCCTAGGCGAATAAGTTGACAACAGAATTTAGAAGTTTCATTGGTCGTTAAGGCGACTGACTTTTCGCTAACAAGTGGCAGGTTTGAAACACGATTCATTCATATCGGTTTGAGTAACTGGGTATTATCATTATCTCCCACATTAATGCGTTTCAAAGTCAAGCAAACAAATCTAAATCATTAAGTGAGTTAACAATAGCCTATCAGTGCCAATAGTGTGGTTGCCAACAGGATTTTTGCATGATGTTTGCCTAACTTTCGCACGTTTGAGTCACATGGAATATATTCCAAGTGTGTGTCTAAATTAAGTCCAAATGTTTAATAGACTGAGTTGTATAACTAAACTCCGCACGAGTAGAGGACATGTGAAAGCCGAAAGTACTTAATCATTTCAGTTTTTAACGTGATTATATTGGATTTTGAGTGAGCAAAGTTTGTTTTTATGTCAAGTATGTGTGGTCGCAAATGAATGTGATATTGTCTCACACTGCTTTGTCTTAAAATGCTTCAGAGTCGTGGTACCCTATCAAGATTTATGATCTATTGGTCCTGTGTGGAAATAGGTACAAATACATACTAGTAGAATAGATGTGCCGGATTTTCGGCTTCTTTACTTCTTATACTGTTATATTGCGGGTTCGCCTAAATGAACTGGCCTTCCATAATTCAAGTTAATAAATCATAATTCGTAAGCATCTTTATACTTCGAATGTGCAGATATATTTTCCGCACAACTAAAGCAAATGAATCAGTAAACTGTATGAGTTTACAAGATTTATATCTTAAATATAAATGTAATGATTGGATTCACTGAAATGTGAGAATTTTTTTTGCAAATAAAACCCTCACTTAAATCGTACGATATCGGAAAGGTTATAGTTTTATCGAACTTCTATCAAGAATGAACTGATATGGCGAACGTTCTTTAAGTAAAGTTGGTACACAACTTATTGGAATGCATAGTGAATGAGTTAAATATGTAGTATATGACGACAAGTGCAGCATTCAACAAATAAGGGGAATACGTTTAAACAATGTAAAAACAAAAAACGAATGCATAGGATTATCAAAGCGAGTTAGGTAGGAACTTACCTTGACATTTGGAATATCCAAACCACGAGCTGCAACAGCTGTTGCAACGAGCACTGGCGTTCTTCCCGAACGAAAACAAGACAACGCTAATTCTCGATCTTCCTGAGTACGATCTCCATGTATACTGGCAACCTGAAACTTCTGTGAGTATAAATAGTTTTCGAGAGCGTTTGCACCCCGTCTTGTTTCAACAAAAACTAATGTTAGTGTACCTGCTTCTGGATAATTAAACATGTAAAGAAATTATTATTTGTAAAACCTGAGTGAGCAAGCAAATCGATTAGAGTATCTCGTTTAGCATTCTCCTCAACCCAAAGTATCGTTTGCGTGATATTTTCACTCGTACTCCCAACACGTCCAACGGTCAAAAATATATAATTGCTTAAGAAATCTTTAGCTAAAATCTAAAGAAACACAATAAGAAGTTGTAAGTACCTGAATCTCATTAGGGAAAGTTGCCGAGAACATAAGCGTCTGTCTCTCGCCGGAAGGTGGGAAAGCATCTTGCTCCACAATACGACGAATCTGTGGTTCGAACCCCATGTCTAACATACGATCAGCTTCGTCAAGAACAAGGAACCTATGGGAAATTACGCATTACTTTGAAACTCACCGACAATGGTCTAAGCCGACTCGACCCCGTTCTAAAACATCACTTAGTCGACCTGGAGTGGCAACTAACAGATTACAGCCTTCGGACAACTCCATCAACTGCGTTCTCATATCAGCACCACCGTAAAGAACACATGGTCTGATAAGAGATCTATAGGAAAACTTTCGGGCATCATCAAAAATTTGCGATGCTAATTCGCGAGTTGGAGCCAGTATAAGAGCTACAGGGAACTGTTTTCTTCGGTTGTTGTTTATCTACTTAAATAACTTGTCAAGCGTAACAAACTTACAGTGGCACATATAGAATCACCGGGACCTTGCTTAATCATGTTGTTTAGGATTGGAATAAGGAATGCAGCAGTTTTTCCTGAACCAGTTTGTGCACATGCCATTAGGTCCCGACCTGATGCAATTATTGGTATAGCATGCTTTTGTACTGGTGTAGGACGCTCATAGTTGGCCAGTTCAACGTTGTCACGTACAATTTTATGAAGTGAAAGTTCGGTAAATGAAGATATAGTTGATGCACTGTCGTTAAAGTTTGGCCCCGTTGCATTTACAGGAATGTTGTCGTATTGGTTAAAGTTTATGCCTGCGCTCACTTTCTTGAAAAGCTCTTGTTCTGTACGCTCGTTTCGTGGCAACTGTTGAGTCCAGTCTTCAGTGGGTGCATTCCAACTGCGTCTGGGAACATTTGACCCCAAAGTAGAATGACCACCCCGTGACTGAGTACTACAAACAATCACAGTAGAAGATAAATATTGACATACTTCATGTTGAAGCTTGACCACCGTGAGTCAGATTGCTGCCTTTCGTTCCCAACTTTTGATCCCCTGTTACTATACGAACCACGAAAAGGACGTCCACGAAAGTTATCACCACCAATACCACGGGAAGGGCGACTAAATTGACTAAAATCATTTACAGAGTCTGCGAGACCATCTGAAGTTCCACGATTTCGCAAATGAGGAGGCACATAAAGTTTGGCACCACCACCATCTGGACCATTTGAATGGATAGCCATAGACGAAAACTGCAATAAAATTAGTATATAAAATCCACTGTTTAAACGCATAACTGTCATAGTAAGAGAACCTATTAAAAACTGCATAGGTAAACGAACTAACAGAAACTGATTTGTTTTCTTAGGTTATTGACTTAACCTCAAATGAACTGCACACTTATTAAGAGCGATTAAAATTTTATAATGATTATCAATTTTCATACTTACGCCTGTTACTCCTCATGGAAGGTCACCCATCAGCATTCTCCGTCCAACTCTGTTCTGAGTAGTCCTTTACAGTTGCTATTCATCCATTTGATGTCTGCTTCTAATTCTCGGTGCAGTGTGCTCTTCGGCCTTCCTCTTTTCCGTTTCTCTCCAGGATCCTCCTTGTTTATCGATTATGCTGTCCAGATAATTGAAATTGTCCACCTCTTCGAGTTTTCCATAAATTGTGGTTGGGTCGGTGTTCTCCGTGTTGTATTTGAGGATGTTGCTTTTTTCCATGTATATGTTGAGGCCTATTGATGCAGAGGCTACTGCTACATTGGTTGTCTTCATCTGCATTCGTCGGTGTGTATGGGATAGAAGAGCTAGGTGATCTGCAAAGTCGGAATCTTTTAGTTGCATGCAAGCTGTCGATTGTATTCCATGCTTCCCGTCACATGTGGTCTTCATAATCCAGTCAACCACCAGAAGGAAGAGAAAGGGGAGAGTAAGCAGCCTTGTCTGACTCTGGTCCTTACTTGGAATGCATTTGTCAGCTGTCCTTCATGCACGACTTTGCAGTGAGATGTTGACTATTTTCTCAGCTACCCACTCCATAGTGTTGAAGAAGTTTCCATAATATTTTCCTATCCACGTTGTCAAATGCTTTTTTATAATGAAGTTGATGTATGGTGACAAGTTCCATTCACATTATTGTTCAACGATGATCTGTAGTGTGGCGTTTGGTCTGTGCACGACCGATTGTTACGGAACCCGGTTTGTTGATCTTGAAGTTGGGCGTCTACTGAATATTTTATTTCTTTCAACATCACTTAGCTGTAAACCTTACCTGGTATTGACAGTAGTACGATTCCTCTGTAGTTCTCGCACCTGCTCAGACCTCCTTTTGTATGCAAATGAGGTATCCTTCATTCCAATCTGATGGCACTTGTTCTTCCTCACAAATCTTCCTGAATAGAACATGGAGCATGTTTTCAGTTGCTTCTACGTTTGACTTCAGTGCTTCAGCTGGTATCTTTTCACGTTCTACTACGTTCGCGCCCTTCATTTGTCTGGTGGCCATCCTGACTTCTTTGGTCGTTGGTAGAGTGACATATATTGGAAGGTTTGTGTGTGCTGCTTCGAAGTTCGGTGGATTCAATGGAGCCGGCCCATTCAAGAGTTACTCAATATGTTCTACCCCTCTATTCCTCTGTTACTGAAATTCAGTGATTGACTTGCCTTCTTTGTCATTGACTGGTCGCTCCAGTTTACCATATTTCCCTGACAGTTTCGTTGTTGTGTCATATAGTTTTTTCATATTTCCTTCTATTGCAGCTTTTCCCATTGTCGTCAATAGCTCTTCCACGTATTTCTGTTTGTCAGCTTTAATGCTCCACTTCATTACCTTGTTTGCTTCTGTGTATTCAGCTTGTGCCTTCACTTTCTCTGTTATTGTTAGGCTGTTGATCATCGTTGTCTTCTCGTTCTTCCTCTCTTGAACCTTGTCCAGGGTTTCCATCGAGATCCATCCCTTACGATGGTACTTTTTTGATCCCTTTCCAGTTGTCCTTCATAGTGGTTTCTCCTTCATTGAGTAGATCCTGTAAGGCTCGGAACCTGTTGTTGAGAGTTATCTCAAATTCGTTGAGTTTGTCAGTATCCCGTGGGAAGGCTGTGTTGAACGCTTGAAATGCTGTTTCCCCGATTGTCTAATGCTTCTTTGGCTTCAGTTTTATCTTGGCTACCACCGGGTGGTGATCTGAAGCTATGTCAGCACCTCCATGGGTTCTTACGTCTTCCATTGACCTTGTGAATGTTTTACTGATGCAAATATGATCTATCTGTTTTGAAGGATGTTTTATTGATCCTGTGCGTCTTTGAACAACAGCAGTGCAGCTACTTGTGTGCGCAAAGCATTTTCTTCTTCGTGACCAGAGTGCAGCAGCATCTTTCCTGAATCTATCCTTTTCGTTTTTAGAACCTTCGCTGTCCAGCGAGAGTTCAATGGGTTTCGCTGATTCCGAAAACCGTCAAGTTGTATTTCCTCATTTCCGTAGTTGTTTGATGAGTCCTCCTAGTCTCCAACATTGAACGGATATTCCATGTACCTATATTGATTTTTGCTATGAGCGTTAGAAGAGACATCGGCCTCGTGACTTCCGAAGAACCTCAGCTTTCATCATGAGGCGTATAATTCTTTTTTCAACTAAGAGGGCTGACTTCAAGTGGTTTAATTTGCTTATTCTGGTTAGTGTATTTTTAGCAAAGTTGTTTTCTACGGGATGAGGTTGCTGGCCCTAGGCCCAACCCTTCTACTTTACCTGGGCTTGGGACCAGCAGTAGTCCTGAAAGATCTACAGGCAGAGCTACCAATCTTTACAGCCAACTACAAATCATGCCATTAAAAAATTGGTCGGCGCCACGTGGTTCAAATATTCTGTGGTATCCAGTACTGGGGAAAACGTCAAAAAAAACTAGATATTAACATTTGAAATATAAACTTATAGTGTTTCCCATCGACTCTACATTTTCATATTTAGATTTATCTTAAACGATACATTCTGTAAGCTCTGAGAGGCGTTGATAATTTTATGATCGAGTCAAGTGAAATGGTCCACCAGGGTTTTAGGTACCTGAAGAGCTGCACTAGATAAAACTATGATATTCGCGTTGCGAAAAGACTGGAATCTGGTTCTTCGGAAAACCAGTATAAAGCATCCTTTTATTTAGTTGTTCATCCAGCGGTACCCCACCGATTTAGCTCAAATCATAAACCAATGGATTTGTTGACTAATGTCGCCTCTAGGTCTTAGTGTTATTAACTTTCACTTAACTTTTTTATATGCTAGATGGATTAGGTCGAACAATAAGTGGTCATTGATAATTCCATAAGGTTTTTGTTATCAACCGAGGATCCACTTAGGGGGATGGAAAACCCTGACTCCGGGATCCTAAGGGAATGAATAGCGTATGAACCTATTGTTGGTCACCGGCTACCATGGGATTGCAATTCCTAACGTTATTCCACTGCCTTGTGGATTAAACCTTTAGGTTGAAGAATCCGGATGCTTCAGAACTTAATGCTATACCTACACCCGAGGTTGCGGAAGTAGCAGTGGAGTCTCCGAATACTCGGAGGGTGAATCGTGCCATATCTTTATATTGACAAAGTGAGGTCAAGCGAATAACAATACTTAGAATCCGTATGTGTGTTTCGGATACGAAGCATGCATTGATAGCGTGTGATTTCAGAGTCCTAGCTAAAGAACTCTGTTCTATCTGACACAAGGTTTTAACAATCTAAGCTCCAAAATGCAGTTTACAGAGTGGATTCAGGAGACCAGGACTAACATTTTGCGAATTCAAATCAGCACCGATGGTGCGTGATAAAAATAAATGAGAAGGGTTAGTCGTAGGGATGATAGAATTATTAAGAGGTCAGGGAGGGATTCCATAATCAGCAAGGTGATCTCAAGTGCTGATAAAGGTATGAGAGCGGTTGTCACTTCACGGTTGCCCACATCAAGGAAGGCTGTTTCTTCTTGAGTAACCTGGAGAAAAGGCTGTATTAGTGGTAGTCTTTGCATTCTGGGAGTGAGATTACCGAGCCCAAGGGATAGTTACTTGAGGTCAATCGCCTATGGCCTTTTTATGAGAAGTTTTGATGTGTTACTTCTGCAATCCTAAAAGCCTTACCGCCGGAAATGGAAATCCTTGGGGTAAGGTGAGGTGTGACACTTGCTGTCAACCTTTTCTAACCCCTTCCTCCCATCATGGTAAGGCGGCATTACTGCAGGTGCTGATTGCCCGAGGCAAACACCTTACTACAGTCAAAACACTCCCAAGTCGGCAGTATGATTTTACCTTTGAATCTTAAGTTGCTGCTTTTAATCTTAGTTTTCCAACCGTTCTGCCTGGCACGGTAGGACCTAAAGGAGCATGTATTTCAACCCAATATAGCTCTGTTAAGGCAAGTTCGACCACCATTTCAAGATAACAAGGTCGGGAATATTCTTCAATACACTTACAAGTTTGCGCAAAATCCGAGGAGATATCCCAACCCTGATCAGCTTACTCAAGGTCATCAGTATAGTGTACCTTTACTGGAAAATACTAAGTTATGCAAATATCCCATCAAATACAATTTTGTGTTATAGTTTCGAACCACACTTTTTATGTTTGGGCTAGAGATAGTATCGGCTACACAAACTGAAGTAGAGAGTAATTCGAACCTAATTATTTTTTTGCTTATTTTGAAGTGTGACAAAATCAAACTAATAAGTGTTATGGTGGGTAGCTCTGAAGGAAATTAGGGACAGTTTATTCATAAGCTCTGATTGGGACTGCCACGAAGAATAGATAGCCGTAATTAAATGCAAACATACTTTGACGGTGGTAATCGTATTGTTCCGAAAGCTGACGAATAGTAGGGGCTTGATCAAGACAACCAGGGTAAAGTTTACAACATTTGACTTTTTTCCTGTTTATAATCTTTTGTTCTATAGAGTAACTAAGAAAGCGATGACCAAAAGAACCATCTTACTTAAACTGATATGGCTATTGCAAAACGACCTGTGTGTTTTCTAATAAGTTAGAACTGACGTTTTTTGTCAAAAGCGGCATCAATGACGTGTAAAGTAACATCTGGACGCGAGCACAGTTCATATAACCCAGTAACTAACTACATATTCGTTTACTTGGACCTGAACCAGATTATGATAGCTATTTATAACATTCGTCTCTCAAAATAGGTAAGTGAGACGGTTAGAGTCAACAACTTAGTGTCAGACTATTTTGAAAAGCCAATCAAGTTCCCCAACTGTGGCAACTTATTCGAGTTATGCTGGATAAAACGTCTGTTTATTGTCATGCAAACTAGATGTATTATTCGTAGTATGACATAGAAGCCGTACTCCTAAGGGCACCAGGGGGTTGGGGAAGTAAAGAGTAACCAGCATTCTCAACATTGTCTTAACAGACTGGCATAAATTATTTGAAGCATATACCATTGATTGTTTGTCGGTATTAATAAAAACACGGGTCAACTACTATGAAGAATGTAATGATCTATAAACGAAAATTCAACCAAGCACATAACGAGATCGTACTGCGTATTTATCTATACTATTCCTTAGCGAAAATAATACCTGCTTTATTATATACTGTAGTTGCAAAATAGGAACAAATGTGCACTTATGTTCGGAGTTGGCTCAAGTTATTCTAAATAACCAAAAACACAAACAGTGAAAAAACTAAGCACCCAGAAGGACGTTAAATCCATTACAATTAGGATTAGTAAAGTTCCACCTGAGACTGATGTGTTGTTAACTGATAACACTAAGCTGATATAAGTAATGAATCCAGAGTAAAAGTTTATTAGAAAAGGAGAGAAGCAAAGTATGAGCTGGGAATACGTTGCGGTTCAGAATGAGTAGTTAAGTATTTTGATGAGATTGACTGGACAATATATGGACACTAATAGTAATAAATAAGCACAAGAAGTTAAACCGACGGAAACGCATGTTTAGGGCGTGGTGTTTAAGGGGGGATAGTATCAAATTTAGGAAGTGTTACTTTATTTATAGCTATTTACTTCGGTTATCCGAAAAAAGAGCTGGAAAAACTTCCGATCATTACAACACTCATGAACTATTGGGACCTTTGGTCTAGACAACCTGGTTACCATCTTACTTTAGTTTTTAATTCAACCAAGTATGAATATAGTTAGATGGATGAACACGGTCAATCTATTGTTGGCTAGAAATTACGTACATGAAACAAAATCGAGTGATAAAATTAGTATTATATCGAATTGGTGTGGTCTTAGAGACGATATTTTCAAAGTAAGGAGTAGAGACTACCAGGGAAATATTCATGACACTATTCGGTAAGGTTCTCTTGGGTATGCTTAGAACATCTATTCACACACCTAACACTTAATTCACCATTTTGCTCGTAATAAACTACATGTTTATCACAGAGTGACCAAGACGTTAACCAGGTAAGACAGTTGCCTGAACTACCACAGTAAACAAGTACTAATAAAATAAAAGACACCACTTCAGCCTAGAAACTCGCAAGGGGATCATGCAACCCTAGGTAGTGACGGAAGGATAAGTTGAATAAATTTAACATACATGCTGGTGCCAGAATGAGTAGATAGGCAAGAGGGTCATTAATGGATTCTTCCCAATTATCGGAAGTATTGTAACTAGTGCTTACGATCGAGGATCAAAAGCATTCACCTTAGAGAAACAAAACATGTTAAGTGTTCTGACTGCAGACGCGGAGCAAGGAGATTCAGACAACTCCAATATGTGCACGCCCTAGCTTATAATGTATGTCAGGAAAGGCATTTGCACTCCTACAGTATTACTAGTTGATTGTAACAGTAAAAAACGGTTGACATTGTCCTACAGTGTGCATTATATAGTCAGCTTCAAACAATACCTTAGTAAGAAATGCTTACTTACCTCATCTACAACAGTATTCTCATCATAATCGTAAGACATATTACGACAAAAGTGCACACGCGATAACAAGAATAATCAGCGATCTAACTCGTGAACACTAAAACAAGTCCCGCCCAAATGTTTCAATACTCTATAGACCAACGACACTGTTCAGTCTTCAGTAGTAATGATAAGTAAATCGACTTATGTTAATCCATGAAACTTTTATTACTATGAAGAGCCAATCACGCTACGCGCTCGTTTCAAAAAGGGCAGTTGTAACGGGATTAAAATCATCATGTATGATGTTGTTAATAGATTTTGTTTTCCTTCTATTGCAGGACAAGCAAGAATAAACGCTTTAGAAGAAGAAGAGCAAGCCCTACACGCACTGAACTTACAGGATGACTCATAAGACCGTTTTGTAAACTAGCTCTCTTTCTGTACAGAACCCGCGAATTTTAATTTTTAAAATAAACGTCTATTGGCCTCCATTCCTCGTTCTCTCTGTGGTGTAGAGTGTTCAGTTAACATTGTGTGTGTTGTGGCTTTAGGTCTTCCCGTCTTCCAGTGACTGCTGATTACACGTGTTACAACTGGTGTCGGAGGTGAGATGGAAAAACGCGATGAGAACCTAGACGAACCCCCTCTGATTCCAATCAGGGCTACTCCCAGTTCAACCCCACACCAGCCACCACTGCTCGAAACATCATCAGATTACTCTGTTTGGAAATTTAAAGTCACAGCGTACCTGCAGAGAGTTCCATTGACTGAGCATTTCAACCACCTTGTTTCCTATCTGAGCGATGAAGCAGTACGCAGGGCTATAGCGAACGGTTTTGCGGCCAGTAACACGCTCTCACAAAACTGGAGAATTCTAGACGACTGCTTTTCCCTGCCTGTAGACACCCAGCAGATGACAATTCAGTTTTTGTCTCGCCACCAGAAACCTCAGGAAAGCCCCATTGACTATCTTCACTCACTACAGCAGATAGCAACCCAGGCATTCCCTAGCCTGGACATCTTGGGGCGAGAAGAAATTACACGCTCCCGTTTTATTGAAGGACTGCTGCCAGGTGCACTGCGAGAACATCTACTTCGAGTGCCACCGGCTGACACAGCCGACTTGAAACGAACGGCACTTCGGTTGTTGACTGCTGAAAGACTGTCAGTTCCATTGGCGACCTATCGACCAGCCGTGATGACTATCGATGAAGCCACCAAACCTAATCTACAAGATAGCTTTCAAAGCGCCGCGGCTATTAGAGAGTTCCCTGACCGGAATAGTAGACGAGGGCAGCCGACTTCCACATGGAACGGACGGTCGTCAAGGGACAACTATCGAGGCCAGCAAACAGAATGATTCTACTGCAGACGTTTCGGCAAAAGTGCCAAGAAATGCGGGCATAACCGCGTGAAAAACAGAGGTAAGCAGTGTCGTTTGCATATATCGTCTTGCTATGTTAAACATTTGTGCCCTGTTACTATTAAGGGTAGAGTGCAAAGTACTGAGATTAATATACTATTAGATACAGGAGCTTCAGTATCCTTGATCAAGGAAGACCTCTTGCAGAAACTTAACCCCAGCACTCAGCGTAAACAATGCTCTTCTAACTTAATTACCGCGAGCGGAGAACCCTTGAAAGCGTGTTCTAAGATAGGGTTAGAGCTGACGATTGACAAGAAGCCTTTTCAACATGAATTCTGGGTTTGCCCCACACTGACTTGGGACATGATTCTCGGGGTCGACTTCATGTTAAAATACCAGGTCTCTATACACATGAATAAGTCAGAAGCGAGTATTGGTGGAGTTGTCGTGCAAATACAACACCATGAAATACCAACTAAGTCCGTAGCCCAGGTGGGAACTGCAGAGATTGTACGCCAGGTACAAGATAACCAATTAATAAGTGAAAAGGACCGTCGAGCTACCATTGACGTACTCCAACGATTTAGCACTGTTTTCTCGGAGAATATCTCTGGAAATCGGACAACCATTGTGCAACATTCCATTGTCACAGGTGACCACATGCCATTACGCCAACCACCTCGCAGAGTCCCGGTGCATTATCAGCCTCATTTAGAATCAATGATAAAAGATATGTTAGAAAAAAAGATTATTGTACCATCTTCGTCACCCTGGGCATCGCCAATTGTCTTAGTAAAAAAGAAGGATTCCTCCCTACGACTGTGTGTAGATTACCGACGCCTTAATGCTATAACTAAGCGTGATTCTTTTCCACTTCCACGGATAGACGCTACCTTAGATGCCATGAAAGGTGCTCGCTGGTTCTCAACGCTAGACTTAGCATCAGGGTATTGGCAAGTGGAAGTCCGACCCCAAGATAGAAAAAAAACTGCATTTGTAGTGCCTAATGGCTTATATGAATTTCAAGTAATGCCTTTCGGGCTAACTAATGCCCCAGCTACCTTCCAACGATTAATGCAGACAGTTCTGCAAGGTCTCGTACCGCACCAGTGCTTAATCTACCTTGACGATATTATTGTATATGGCAGCACGCCAGAACAACATAATGCCAATTTGAAGGCAGTCCTACAACGTATTAGGCAGCATAACCTAAAAGTGAAACCATCTAAATGTCGACTATTGCAAAAAGAAGTGCTTTTCTTAGGGCACCGCATTACAGAAGATGGAGTGGCAGCAGATAAAGAAAAGACACGTGTGATTGTTAATTGGCCGCAACCAAAATCACCTGAAGACGTTCGTAGCTTCCTTGGACTAGCTTCCTACTATAGACGCTTCGTACGTGATTTCGCATCATTAGCAGCACCTTTACACCGATTAACCCACAAAGGACGAAAATTTTTATGGACCAGCGAGTGTCAACAGGCGTTCGATGCTTTGAAGGCTCGGTTAACTTCTCCACCTATATTAGCCTTCCCAGGTACTTCAGCAGACGGAGGCGAATTTATACTTGATACGGATGCTAGTTCCTCGGCTATTGGAGCAGTTTTATCACAAGTAGCTCGAGATGGACACGAAAGGGTCGTTGCGTATGCTAGTCGACGACTAGATAAGAGTGAAGCACGATATTCTACAACACGTCGGGAGATGTTAGCACTAGTAAAATTCTTACAACATTTTCGCCATTATCTGCTGGGCAAACCCTTTCGTATGCGCACGGATCACCGTGCACTGCAGTGGCTCCGCTCTTTCCGCGAACCAGAAGGGCAAGTGGCACGCTGGCAGGAGAGACTACAAGAGTTCGAGTTCACATGCGAGTATCGACCGGGAAATCGACATGCAAACGCGGATGCCCTCTCCCGAATACCCCAGACCACAGATATTATTAACGCAATTCTTAGTACAGCTCCAGAGACAGACTGGCCCTCCCTACAAGCAGCAGATCCAGACTTACAGATTGTTTATCAAAGACAGCTACATGGAAATAGTAAGCCATCCATGAGGGAGCTTAAAGATCAATCCGTAACAACTCGTCGTATCTGCACCAAATGGGGTAACTTCAAGCTATATGGTGACACATTATTCCTAATGAATGAATCAAACAACCCCTACTGATAGTACCGCGAGTGAAAGTTGAGAGTATTGTGGAACAGGTACACCGCGAACTTGGTCATGCAGGAGAACGGAGAACTGAACACGCTGTCCGTCAACGCTTTTGGTGGCCTTCCATACACGAAGATGTAGCTCAGTTTTGCAAGAATTGTAACACGTGCTGCCGTTTTAAATCGCCTCAGCAGACACCCCGTGCACCAATGACGCCGATGGTGACGACAGGACCACACCAGCGAGTTGGTATAGACATCATGGGACTGTAGAACTATGGTCTACTATGATATTAGTACTGCTCTAATAATAGACCTAATCCTAAATTTGTAGATTCGTCATGATATAACTGCCTAATCTATAAGATCTTACGTGGAAGTCACACCATCGACTACGCCAACTCACTGTATCGTATCAATTACCAATACATGATGAAGAACGAGGTTAGGTTAGAGAAAGAACAATATATTTAATATGAATAGAGACCACGCCTGCATGGCCGAGCCATGCCACTCGATCAACTCCAGTCCATTCAATTCCTAGTTCGCGCCTTCTCCATGTTAGGTATTTATCCGCGTTAAATATTGAATATCTATTTTCTGAGTAGTCTCGTGTTCAGCTTTGCGGATTGTGCGGTTATTATTCAATGCCACTACACTACTCTCCCACCAGAATCAACGTGATGTTGGTTCGATACCGAATTGGATGGGATCGTCGTGCGTTGAAGGTTACCAAGACTAGGAAGAATCCCCCGGGTAATGATAAGCTGAAAGATAAATCAAAAAGAAGGCGGCAGCATCTGGTCGGGAAATACATGTAATAATTTTTTTTAAAAAAAATCTGCCTTCATGCTTGACACGCTTAAAATGACAATTTGGGTGAAGATTATTTGAGCTATAAAAAATGGGATTACAGTAATAATAAGAATAAAACGATGCGTGTTAATAGCCGTTGGTTAATAACTTAACGTATAGGTAGTAAGTATTTTGTGTTTAGAAATATTAAAGTGATGAATATTGTAGAAATGTTAATATTGGTATTAGTTTTGGTTTAAATTATGAAATCAGATAACGATTATGCCGGTAAGTTGTCCATAAGAGTTGAATTCCAATTGCATCTGTATTAGTAGGCTAACTGAAGGAACAAAAGTATACCGTGGGGAAGAATTCCAACTAGTGTTCCAGTTAGTTTGATACGGTTTATTTAGTTACGGGGAGATTTTCTCAACCTCATTTTTACTTGACCGTGATAGAATTTAGTAATACTACTAATACACATGAATGGTTATCAAAATAAAATTTAAATACATGAGTGATAATTATATGAATTTTGGACAGATAGCTAGGGACAAATCGTTAAACATGAGTGTATTCGTAAGAGACATGCTCTAGACTCAATGTTCTGAGTTGCCATAGACTATTTACTTGTATTTATACTTGCCGGCTGATTGGACATACAAGTTAGTTGCAAGTATGCAGTTTATCATAAGGCGGAACACGATTTAATTGAGATATAGTGGTTACAAGTTATT